TTTGGACAATGTTGAGCAATGTACTTAGGTTCTCTACAATATAAGCACAATCCTTCCTAAAGACGATGAGTCTTTTTTGCTTAGTAAGAGGTTTGAAACGTACCACATCAATTTGCATATCCTCTACTTTCAAATGTATGTGTTGAAGAGATGTTGGTATTGCTATTGAATTATAGTAATGTTGAGGTCCACTTGTATGGTTCTCAGATCGAAATTCAAAAAGACGATTGTCACACTTCATAGCAAAGTCAATTGCTTGATTCAATGTTTGAGGATCAAATAAGTTGAGCATTAATTTTTTTTTACCTCATATTGTAATCCGTAGAGAAATTGGCTAATAGGTGCAACCTCATCCTACTTGATATCAATTGCAAGTTGTCAAAATTATAAAACATACAACATTACTGATCGATTGTTTTGTTGCAAAATATGGATCTTATTGGTTGCAACATGAATTGTATCATTTTTAACATACATGGATCCAAACTCCACCAAAAAAGTCTCCAAATTATCCAATATTGGATTTCTTCATTCAAAAAAAGATTAAAATTATGATAATACTAAATTTGAAAGAAATGTACCAATGAATTTAACTTGTAATCCTGGAGTTGGATAACTTTGAGATTGAAGTTCAATCACAAGTTGCACTTGATTGATAAATCCTCTAAACTTTGATCTGGTGCCATCAAACTTCTTGGATAGGAAAATTCTTCGTTCTCTAATATTAAAAAGATGTTCTATTATAGGAGAAGAAACATGATTTGGTATAGATATTGAAGCAGCTCTAACTATTTCTATATCTTCACTTCTTGCTAATCTTTTTACTCCTTATGATGGTAAATTGAGTTGATGCATCATAAGCATTAATTCCCTCAATTGTTCTTGTATTTGTACCATTGCACTCTTCATTTTAGCAAGTTCTACAATGATAACACTTAAAAATGAGAAGATGTCTAATATCACTTAAGACAAATAGAAAAGAAGACTTGAGAACAAAGAAAATACTAAGAACAATATTATTTTAAAAGAGGGTAATCCGCAACTTCTAATACGCTTATGTCTTATCAAGAAAAAATGGGTAATCCACTCTTAATCAAGATTAGACAAAGCTCTGATATTATAAGTGCAGTCTTGTCAATCTGTTAAGAACAAAAACTTGATAAAAATAAATAAACAAGTGAGACTTTTTTCAAAGAAAGATGACAAAATAGAAGTAATTAATTATATATATTAAGAAAAAAATTGAATGGCTATTGCCAAAAGACAAGAAAACTAGAGACCCTTGAAACTAGACTAGAAGCAAGAAAGGAGTTGAAAAGAGTGAAGAAGGCTTCATTCTTGCCTCTATATATACTATCTATTTAGGAGCTTTATGGCGACATTCTATAGGACCTCCAAAAACGTGTTGACTCTGTACAACACGTATCTTAACTTGCAAGACAAGTTTTCTATGTGGAGACCATATAGTTAGTTTGTTCCACAAACTAACAACATGTGTGGTACGTGGTTAACTTGTTGACCAAGTTTCTAACCTATCAATGAAGTATAAACTCATATAAAGTTAAAGAAGCATCTATGAAGCTACTAGGAAGCTTTTTGAGAAGATATTATGAAATTAATCTACTTTTATTTACTTCTACTTATTCATATCACCTAGATAACAATTACAATAAATTTATGACCGTGACACAAGATAACTTTCTACTTTCAATTCTTGTTTGTAGCTTCTTTGTAGTTTTGACATTGAAGAGTTGGAGAACCAATAATTAGCAGATTGAACTCAAGAGTCTTTGTTTGCTGATGTGCGGGACGAGACATTACAATTGTCACAACCTTCAAGTCGACTCAATTGAGATGAAGATCCTCGAGAACGACATATTCTTCTTCAAATAGATGGTAAGGTATAATACATTTGGTATCACGACCTTGGAAGAGACTCCTGATGTTTGGTAATTTTATTAGAGGTATGAACAACTCGTCGTGGTATTTCAAATATTTTAATTAAAGGAAGTTATGAAGGCTTCAACAACAATCAAATAATTGGGTGGTTTTTTTGCTCTAGTATGGCACAATATCAATGATTGAGAGTCCCTATCAATTATCTTTGAAGAGAATAAAGATCAAAGTATGAGACAAATACAATTTGCCGCATCTTTGACTTCCTCGACATGTGATCACTACTCCTCATGAAACTTGTTCTTTGAAAGAGGGATAATGTCACAGACATATATTTATTATAATTGTTATTTAGGTGATATGAATAGATAGAAGTAGATAAAAATAGATTTATTTTACATTATCTTTTAGAAAAGCTTCATAGTAGCTTCATAGATGCTACTTTGACTTTATATGTATTTATACTTGATTGGTAGGTTAGAAACTTGGTCTACAAGTTAACCATGTGCCATACATGTTGGTTGCTTACCGAATAAGCTAATTATGTGGCACCTACATAGTAGACTTGCCTTGCAAGTTAAAATATGTGTTGTGTAAAGTCAACACGTTTTTGGAGGTCCTATAGAAGGTTGTCACGTAGCTCCTAGGTAGATAGTATATATAGAGGCAAGAATGAAGCCTTTTTCACTCTTATCAACTCCTTTTTTGCTTCTAGTTTAATTTCAAGGGTCTCTAGTTTTCTTATCTTTTGACAATAGCAATTCTAGTTTCTTTTTTAATATACATATTTAATTATTTCTATTTTGTCATCTTTCTTTGAAAAAAGTCTCACTTGTTTATTTATTTTTATCAAGTTCTTATTGTTGACAGACATTGGTAATGGTAGATGGTATAGAAAAGTAAGATAAGTGATTGATAAAGTGAGAACTAACTTTAAAATTAATGACTTAAGAAGGATTGTAAATGTAAGAGACTATAGCAACTAGATTTATTTTGTGGATGTTGTTATTGTTGTCATTTAGATCTTTGTCTTATAAGATATCAAAGATTTATTCCTTTACAATGTGACTTTGTTGTTTCAATTATAGCTTCAAGATGGGTACTTTAGACTTCCTGAAGTATTATAAATATAAGATAATAAAGTTTAAAGTGGATTTTTTTGATTTAACAATCAACTTCAATATAGCCACATATAACATCATATTTTCTTAGAGACAATGGCAATGATAATCATGACTACTTTGTTTTTGTTTTGTTTTGTTTTATTTTTTAGTGGTGATGGCTACAATTGAGATCATAGTAGTTATGACAACATGATTGAAGGTGACTTTGCTTGAAGTATATTTAGATTGATGGATTTCTTAGCATATGAATTAGTTGATAATTGAATAGACACACAAATGTCCCTTATATTATTAGCTTGTAGGATTAACTCAATAATAAAGAACCAAATGGTATAGTTTGTGACCCCTACTAACTTGTCTCTCTCTTAAAAATTAAACTTGGCAAGATCCATTGTTGAGCATCAAGTTCTAAGATTGTGAACTGATTACTCTAATACTATTAAAAAATAAAAATAAAAAGTGGCACTTGATTATTTGGACTAAATAGGTCAACAAATAAGTCATCAGCCTAGTGAATTTAAGAAGAGTGAAGAATTGATTTTAACTGAACTTTACCGAAATAATTCTAACAAATTTGTACTGTTAATTCTGTTTGTAATGTGGTGTGGAGTTTGATGTTTGTCTCAACCATAGGATCCAGTAGTAATGACAGATACAAAAGTTAATTTCCAACAAAAGTACCTCCCTTTCAACCGTTTCAGAGCATGAGCAATTTGAGCAAGAAGGGAACCTCTTTGGAAGTGGGTTCTTACATTTCATGTCAAGGGTCGGAATCCTTAAGCAAGGCCAGTGAACAGTAGCGAGAAATTGGCAGAACTGGTAACTGAAGACGATCAATGCATTAATTCTGGTACACAGCTCGATTGTAGAAGAGCTTAGAACGAGCAAAGAATTGACTATCTAGGTCGTAAGGTGGAGACCCGGTCAAGATGTGGCAGTTGCAGCAGTTATGCAGAAGGATTTCAAACGAACTTCAATCCTCTGAGCACCACAAACAATGAGACTTGTTTGGGTCTACTTCCAGAGAAGCTAAAGCACCGACCACGTGAAGGTTTAGAACGAGTTAATATTAAGATCTCCCAAAGCAGAATTTGTAAGTCGCTTTTAGGTTTGATGCTGGAGACATCACGAGCTTTGATTTATTCCTTGCAGACTTTAAAAAAAGTAGAAGTTTGGTTATAAAAGAAAGAGACAAAGAAGTCTTCACAGCCTTACATATGTTGCCTTATTTTGTCTCAAAATATCTATTATGCCAACTACACGGGTTTCCGCATGTGTTAATATATAAATATATATGTACATACATGAATAGTCGTATTCAGAAGCAGGAACACAATAGAATAAAAAGAAGAATGAGAAAGCCACAACACCCAAGAGGAAGAACCATGTTTGGGTTAGCGCCACATGCGCGAATTTACAGGGCGAGAGGGAGCCCCTTCCCTTGCCGCACTCCAGAGCGGACACCATAGCCTTGAAAGCTCTCCTCCCGAACCCACCCTCTCACCATGGACAGCGCCCACGTCGCCCTCCGTTTCCAAGATCACCACCAACATGAAGAAACAATCAACTCCATATTCTTTCTGATCATCATCCACCCAAGCCGGCACTCATCCTTCCATCCATCGAAATAATCACCCAGCCATGCCCATGTGGACCTCGCTCACTCCACCACGCCACCTGACTCACACTCCACAACATCTCTTCTGTCCCCGTCTCCCTCTCTGGCCGGGATCGGCCCCACTCAACCACGAGCCCGTTCGGCGAGAGAATGGCACCTGGTCCACAGTGAGTGAGTGAGTTAGTGAGCGAGGTAGGGCAGGGCAGGGGTTGGGCAGCGCAGACCGGAATGGGGAACTATCACGGGTTGACCTGACCCGCTCGCTGCTGCAACCACAACGAAGGGATGGGGAAGAGGGAAGGAGGAGGGAAGGAAAGTAGGAAGGAAGGAAGGAAGTGAGGAAGCAGTGTCGCAGCAGCTTCCTCACTTCCTTCCCTTGGTGCAAGTGAGTGAGTGAGTAAGTGAGTGCGTGCAGGGGAGCAGCATCGGCAGCCATGTTGGCAAAGCAAAGCAAAGCCTTGCACAAGCCCCCTGCCCTCCTCGCTGCTTTCAATTTCTCCCGGAGCTGCTATCACTCCTTCGGTCTTCCTTTCTTTCTTTCTCGTGGCTTCGCTGCTGTCTGCCAAGCGGCCTTGCTGTTTGTTGCCTGGAGGCCTTCCTCACTCTCCCCCCCTCCCCCCCCTTTTTATATGCTGCTACTGCGTCACTCCCGCTTGCATCTGCACTCTGTGGTTCGTAGTTTGGATACCTGCTGCCCGGCGCTTGCTTGGCGTCGCGTTTGGAGTTCCTCCGCCATGGCTTTGGAGGTGTTGGACACGCAGGTGGGCATCATCGGGTCTGGCCCTGCCGCGCACACGGCTGCTGTGTATTGCGCCCGCGCGGAGCTTCATCCCGTGATGCTTGAGGGATGGCTTGCTAATGGTATTGCGGCGGGCGGCCAGTTGACAACGACGACGGACGTGGAAAATTTTCCAGGGTTTCCCGATGGCATTCTGGGATCGGAATTGACGGATAAGTTTCGGGCACAGAGCATCCGGTTCGGCACGCGTGTGTTTTCGGAGACGGTGAATCGGGTGGACTTCTCGTCGCGTCCATTCAAGCTGTTCACGGACAACAAGGAAATTCGCGCTCAGTCTGTGATCGTCGCGACGGGCGCGGTTGCGAAGCGGTTGGATTTTCCAGGGTCCGGGGAGGAGTCCGGGTACTGGAACAGGGGCATATCGGCGTGTGCTGTGTGCGACGGGGCTGCCCCCATCTTCCGAAATAAGCCGCTGGCTGTGATAGGCGGTGGCGACTCGGCGATGGAGGAGGCCAACTTTTTGACGAAGTACGCGTCGAAGGTGTATCTGATTCACCGGAGGGACACATTCCGAGCGAGCAAGATCATGCAGGCCCGGGCTTTGGGGAACCCTAAAATCGAGGTGATATGGAACAGCTCGGTAGTGGAGGCGAAGGGGAACAAGAGGGGTTTGTTGGCGGAGCTGACGGTGAAGAACCTGGTAACAGGGGCGGAGTCGGGTTTGGAGGTGAGCGGGCTGTTCTTCGCAATCGGCCACGAGCCTGCGTCGAAGTTTTTGGGGGGGCAAGTGGAGACGGATGCAGACGGATACATCGTGACGAAGCCGGGGACGACTCAGACGAGTGTGATGGGAGTGTTCGCTGCCGGGGACGTGCAAGACAAGAAGTACCGGCAAGCAATCACAGCCGCAGGTACGGGGTGCATGGCAGCATTGGAGGCGGAGCACTATCTGCAAGAGCACGGGATGCAGGAAGGGAAGTCGGAGGACGAACCAGCCGATCTGACGTCGAATGGCACAGGAGAAGGGCCGTCGACAATCGTGAAGCCACCGATGGTAATGGCCAACGGGTTGAGTCGGGTGTAGGTCCAGGTGATGCATTTTCGGGTAGGATCGGGACAAGGAGGAGAGCAGTGAGTGCGGAGAAGGTTTCACATTGAAATCGAGGATGAGCACAGCAGGAGAGAACGTCCTGGTAGGCGTATTCCAGCGTCAAGGGACGGCATGCCCAATGGGACCTCCGGATGACTACAGATGTTACACTGTGAACGAGAGTTAAGTGGAATGCTGTAAGCAACTGTGCAGTTGGTGGTGTTCACCCGCACTCGAGAGTGTATTTGTGTGAATCACATGTTGCGTTGAGTCACGACAGGCACCTCTTCCGCTTTGGCAGCTTGTGAGGTGGGCGGGAGGAGATTCATAGAATGTTGCCTGTCATGGTCACTTGTACCTGGTGATATGTCTGGCTTGGTTGTCTTTTGTACCATTTGAGTGTTTTGGTGAATAGTGTCATTGGAACTGAAGATCTTTTAATTTGTGTAGATTAGTTAGTAAATTTTAGAATTTTTTCGAAGTCACTTTGCCCTATTGAGGGAAATAGTGTCGGAGCCTGGTAGTAGATGTCTCGCATTATCACTCCAGTGCTGTCGATTATACTAATTTCTTTTATTCTTTTTCGAAACACTGAAGTGGAGAAATTTTAGTGATACTCAAATTTGCACGTGACGCTTTGAGTCGTGACACGTTTGGCTTGTTATCCGGAGGTGTCATTGTCCATGTCCACAGTGAGTTGTGTGTTTTTTCTTTTATTTTAATTGTCTGGAAGAGGACTTTGAAGAGATGTAACTAGCTCTTACTTTAGACATTTCAAGTGCAATGTATTTGTTACTGTTTTGATGTATGTTTATTTTCGTTTCTGACATTATTCTCCGATTTCGCGATATTGTGGGTGTTGTGTTCGTAATTCTTGAGTTGATTTTACAATGCTTGCTATGACAACCCCCTGGTTTCAGTGCAGTGGATTTTGAACAACAATTTTTACACAAAATTAAATGCACAAGAATTTGTTCCGATACCTGAAGAATACGTTCTTTGAAGGTTTGTAGCAGAATATGTTTTCACTGAATATGTTTCGTATTTAATTGGGTGCTTTGCTTCTTGTTATTTTTTATTTGTTTTATCTGTTAAAATTAAAACATTATTCTTTTTGAAATAGCTGGCCATAAAATTCGACTAACTTATTTTAATGCATATGATATTACACAAAATGATTTCAAACAAATGTAAAAAGTTTGACATGGGCCATTAATGGAAAATATTAATTTATAGTTCTTTTTTACTATTTACAAGTTTCTCAGTAAGAGGCATGATTTGTGTCTTTTTTAAAAAAAGAGTCCCTCTTAAACTTAGGAATGATAACAAGTTAAGAAAAACATATTACATTAACTGAATATTATTAATAAATTTCAAAGTTAAATATATTACATTGTCATGAATAGTTGTAAAATAAACAATAATTTTCAGATTTTACATATCTTCAATTATATTAGATTTCAATCATGAGATAGTTTTTTTTGTTTATAAATAGAGATATTTAATGCTTAGAAAAAAAAATATTATACTAGTTTATAATAAATATATTAATTACATAGTTTTCTTCAAGAGTGGATGTGTATGTATATAAATGTAATGTTTATTTGATAAAAAAGACCACTACATGATATATGCAATAAATGAATGTATCTAAGAAAAATGGAGGCCTTTAATTGGTTGGTTGTTATGTGGAGCCTAACACCTATGACAAATGCAGGGGTGTCAAGGGAGCCGTAATATTTCTTTGAGCCCTTAGTTACAATGGTATAGCTACAATCTACTGCATCAGTTTGGACGTCTTTGAGGAGCTTGTTCAATGAGTTGTACAGTATCTCCAAGTTTGGTGGGAGAAGGCTCATTATGAAAAAGAGAGAGAGAGCAAGAGTGAGCAAGAAATGAAGAACATAGAAGAGAGGAAAGAAAGAAGTTGAGGCAAAGAAGTAAGAAAGATGGAGAGAGGACATACAATTTGATTCTAAGGTTCTAAGAAAGATCATCAAGATTATAAAATCACATGGTCCATATAAACTTCAAATTAAAAAAAGAAAAATTTCACAATATGGCCCTATTTTTTATATTATTTGATAATATGACCCTGTTTCACAAAAATTCATAAGATGTCCCTGTTTTCAAGTTCATTATTGACAACATTTTTCACACGTGAAAACTTTTCGATCAATTGATTTCTATTTTCAAATATACATATATATATATATATATATATATATATACTAGTATAAAAACCCATTTATGTTCTTATCTGCTCCATCTGCTATCCCACTGTCATTGTCATTGGTGTGATTCCCTGCACGTCCTCATATTGTGTCTTTGTCCTCTACATGTTTTGCAAGTCGAGCTTCCAGCTGTTTGGGCTCCGCTTTCTTGACCCCTTATCTTTGGTCTTCCGCGCAGTCGTTAGATAATTGGTGGTGCAATACTTCTGTACAAGAGTCAATACTTCTGTACAAGCTTCAATCAATCCCTTTTCTCTATCTTTGATAAGGGCTGTTTCTCGTGAATTCACGTCAGGAATTGCTTCCTTCAAGTTCTGAAGAAACCAACATCAGGTGTCCTTGCATTCATTTGGTGCCAATTTCTAAGCATAAATTACTAACTTGTCCTCCGAATCCATCCCAACCGCCAAAAAAAGTTACTGAATGAACCGATTTGGGGTGAAAGTGGCATCAATCGCAACAAATTTTTGTAGGTACTTGGAAGCATGTCGTGCAGCTCCTGGATAGACAAAGAGCCTTTCAAAGCTCTGAATCATGCCCTCCTCGTACAAAGTCTCAATCCTTTTGAAGTAAGCAATAGTTTTGGGATCGACCTCCATCAATCTCTCAGCATAACTTTGAGCGATTCAAAATAATTCCTTTTAAGCATCTGCAGATTCTTGTAGCATTGTTTCTTTCGCGTTCTATGCAGTGCCATAAGTGAATTCGATGTTGTAGGTCCTCTTGAAAAAGGATTGTATGGCTTTTGGTTTTAACGTTTGATCAATTTCCAGCGGCCCCTCTCGAAGTTGTTCAACTACCCATTTGGAATCGCTTTGGGAATCCTTTGGTTTTGCCATTGTCCCTTGGCAAGCATGATCCAAGATCAACATCACCTTTATCTCCGTTTTCGTGCTGAAGATTGCACGAACATAATACGGGCACTTCCCATTCCCATGGCACGTTAGGATCATCTTTTCGGTGTTGTGGGACTTCATGTTGAAGTTGTAGTTGTTTGCAACAGCGTGGTCTTGAGCAGCATGTTTAACATCGTCAAAGGAGGCATACACAACTTCCGCAAAAAGGGCTATTGGTGGATGAACATCGTATGTTCAAATGGGAGGCATGATGTGTGCGATTTTGATCTTTCAAGTTCCTGCAGCCAGAGTTCCATTAGTTCAAGTTCTTGACACTATGTGAGTAGAGGCAATTCAATGCAATGTGCTAGTTACCTATTCCACGTGAAATGTAAGAAGAGATGCTTCTAATAGGCAGTACGTTTCGAGTATGTTCAAAATCACAACGCTCAAAGGTGAGTCGGTGAATTGTCGGTGAGTCGCTATGATTGGTGACAGTTCTCTGTGTGGATTGTCCAACTGTTCAGATTCAAAAGAAGGTCATCTTACGAATTTTTGTCCTATAGGGTCATATAATCAAATTACGTCGAAAACAGGGCCATATTGTGGAATTTCTCTTGAAAAGAATAATAATCCTAAAGGCTCTCTTCCCAAAATCTGCGAGGTATGTTATCCTTGGACCCCGCCCACTCATGAGCTAGAGGAATTGCCATGCGGAGGGATGCCACCTTCTTGACATTACCCCTCCCTTCCTAATCGTCACGAAATCAAACTCCACACCACAACAACCAACCAATGAGGCATATATTTTTCTTGTATGTGTGTATAGCAATTTGAAGTGTACGTGTAGCAACTTGGAGTGTGCTTGTAGCCTAACTTGGTGTATGTGGAGAAAAAGATCAAAATTGACATTGATTTTCTTGATATCTCCATTTTAACTATGTTAACTTTTCAGGATTGCACTTCTTGTGTTTGGCATAGTCAATATAGTTTCTGTTGTACCTTTTTCTTTATTTGTACATCAATGGTTTTATACATATTCATATTTTATCTCATTTTTTAGCATATGTTAATGTACAGATATATTTTAAATATATGTTTGATGCTATTTTCATTTCACACATATTTTTATGTTGGTAGCATTGGTACTAGTGGAACTCTAATAATACAATTTTACTCATGAATAATTAAATTATAAATTTATAATAAATAATGACGGCACATCATGTACACGAAGTGACTGTCAATCAATAAGTTGAACGTAGTTTTGCAAGGTCAAAAATACCACATACTGGGTTAAAAGTACTTTTAAATTAATCAATTACAGTAAAACACATGTCAGGAGCAGAAGATAACCAATCAAAAAGAGCCAACAAAATTTGAGACTCACCTCATGAAGTATGAAATTGCACGGACACACGTGAAAGTTCAGCTACTTGCGCCAAAATGCAAAATGTGTTCGTAAACATCTTTGGCAATCCATATTCTTTACGTTAAAATTTGCAGTACAGAAGTGATGGCTCTTCGATTATTTGGTGAGTTCCAAGCAGTAAGTGGCAGAACCTTCCACGATGCTGGATTACCCACTCTACACTCTTACGAAAGATATATCCTAGTGTATTATAATCTACAATGGAATGAATAGCATACAGTTCCGTGATCAAGAATCGTTGATGACCTATCCAAAGTCGTCAAACGTTCAACAGAAGCAGATTCAAACAGTGCAAAAATTTGAGAAACGAGGATCTACTCTAGCTCCCATTCTTACATGTCAAACTTCGACCATCCATAAATATATCATAAGTTCTACAAATGCGGATTGCAATTAAATCAAACTCCAGCCCCTTTTTCTATCACTTCAACTCAAGGTTGCCGAGGGCGATTAAATTCGTGACTGTTGGTTCGACTAAGCAAAGGCGGACTCTGCTGACTAGACCCTGCCCTGTGGTGAAAATGTGGAGATAAATGCTCACCAAAAGTGCCGTTCCCGCGGTGTTGCGTTTCATCTTCAGATACTGTCATTCTACCGATTGCGAATATGTTACTCTCTAGTATATTATTATCTACATTAGAATTGTGGTTTAAACGTCTCCTTGGGCTACCTTCTGGTGTACGTTGCTGAGGAGGCGTATTTCGATGATAGTCTTTTCGAGGTTCAGGGTATCCCCCACCTCCATTCATCAAGGAGGTACCTGCATAACGCCCACTTTGTGTTCTTGAGGTATTTCCCCCATATCCCTCGTTAGGATACGTAGACAGTGCGCCATACACCTGATTAGGGAGTAGAGGTGAGGTGCCATAGCCTCCACCTGGCGGGGTCGACGATCCAGAGCTTATCATAGGGGTTGACATCCCGCTATGGCCCTGATGCCCTATTCGTGTTCCTGAAACCTTTGTGTTGACGGCTGGAAGTGCGGCTGAACCATGTCCTCGCGGTGAAAGTTCACTACACAAATGGAAGAAATGAAGGACTAAGCGAGGAGACGAGTCTTATCAACTTTCATTCGCATCGTTTATTCGACACAATCATAATCGCAATAAGTGTGAATTCCAAACTCTGTACAGTAGTAGGTTCTGGAAGGGCAGATGAGTAGGAATCGAAAGTAACCTGGTTGAAACTCTTTTTCTGGGTTGGGGAGAATAGCTCGCATCAGTCTCGTGCATGGGAGAAGCATTTCCTCGTCCCATATTCGATGTCGCATTCTGAAATCACTCCCATCACGTAGAAACATTGGACGAAGTTAGACAAAATAAGCAGAGAACTCAAAAAGCGAAGTGGAAGTCAAAAATGCAGAGCTATTCAAAAAAAAAAAACCTAGCCTTTGTATAAATATACTAGAAGACCTTAACGACAGAAAGAACTATTGCCTTCCATATTACTAATTATGACGGATGGTTAAACTCAATTCTACGAAGATACTGAAAAACGGGTCGCAAACTGTGTAAGTATTTCCGGACGACTACAATTCAAACAAGGTTAGGAGTTTAAAAACGACAACTATCTTGCACAAAATCAGTTAATTGATAAATATAAGGGTGAAATGAGAAGAGAGGACACCAAGCACAGAAATCAGATCCGACAAGTGATGCAAGAACGCCTAGGTTAGACGACAGTCAAGAAAAAGTTCTAACAGCTGATTGAGTTGCTAACCGCAGCCCTATTCGTAGTAACGGTATTCGGAACAAAATCAGCTCCAGCAAGGGTATCATCTGGTCTGCAGACGCGTGGGGCATCCTGAACAAAAGGATGTTCTAGCAGTTGGGCAGCTGTTGGCCGATGGGCAGGATCTCGTTGCAAACATAGCCTTACAAAGTCCCTCCCCTCTCTGGACAATGAATCTGGAATAGCAGGTAATTCTTTGCTGTTCCCAATTTTGAACATTGCTGCAACCTGATTCACATTCTGAGAACTTAGTGCTTGATTCAGCCACAATGTAATTACAATTACCTACGAAACGAAGGCTCTAATAATTTCCAAGCAAGTTCTTAGATTCAAATTGGGAAGAAAGACTAGGTGCAGCGTAACAGTAAATTCAGAGGATTGCGAAAGAAAGAGAATTGAGATCTGTGCCGCTCACCCCTTCATATTGGTGCCATGGAGGTTTAGTAGTCACCATCTCAAGTACAGTGCAACCAAGACTCCAAATATCCACAGCTAAATCGTAACCTCCCGTGTGCTTGAGCACCTATCAGAAGGAAACCATGCACAAAGGCTCATATTTAGAGAGATAGGTCCTACTACTTGTATTAAATATAAGCCAAATATAACCACTTTAAAACTATATAGATGCTAATTGAGCAAAAGAGCTACTAGGATTGCATTTTACACATACCTCAGGAGCCATCCAATACGGGCTTCCCTTAAAGGACTTGAGAAAAGATTGAGCAGAAATCTGCAGAGCAGTATGTCAGGAAGTATAAGATCCCTACTCTTGCAATACCATGAATTGCTAACAACCAAGGAGCGCAAAGAAGTATTTTAACCGTCTTGAGCTCAATCTCAACGCACTCTCTGTAAAATAAATACTAAACTAAAATTTGACAAGGCAGTGATCACGATGGTTCTTTTACAAAATGCAGTACAAGAATCAGTACATTTGAAACAATGGAGTAGACATACATGCTTCGCCATGCCAAAGTCGGCAAGTTTCACCATCCCATTGGTGTCTACAAGAATGTTGGCGCCCTTAATATCCCTGAAAGAGCACTCAAACACATCTTTCAGAATCAACCTTGATAGCTGTAACTTGTGGTTAACCAACAGAGTGCTTATTAATTCGCAAAATATGTGCAATAGAAACCACAAGATTTACAGAAAATAAAATTGAATACAATAAGTACCTATGAACTGTATTTTGGTTGTGCAAATAAGCTAGACCAGAGAGGATCTGACGAGTGTAATTGCGTACAACCGGTTCTTTAAAAGCGCCATACTCTTGGAGTAGTTTATGGATTGATCCACCTGAGACAAACTCTAAATATATATACAACCTGTCCTCCAACTACACAAACCCAAGCAACATCGTCAAATGTGGACGATTCAATTTCCACAGCCGCAAAACACTCATCACAATACTACTCCAGTCACACTATGAATCAAAAGCTATCAAAGATTTCGTGGTACCGTTTCTGTGCCAATATACTGTACAATGTTCTCGTGCCTCAACTTACTCAACAAACTTATTTCCTGGTTCACAACAAACAGAATCAGCTCATCAAAACTCGCGACACTTTCAACAAGCATTGTTAAGGCATGCCCATCTCATGAATATGGTGAACACATTAAAAAAACGTGTTAATAGAAACAGTACCCAAAGGCAAGATCAGAAATATAAAAACATCATTTGTTCCTTACCAATCCCTGATGCTCAATACTAATGCAGAGTGTCCACAAAGAGAATGGACATAAGAAATGGAGATATGGAGAGAACTGAGACGCAACACTATACACCACACTGAAGCAGAATGACAAAAAGCTCAAGAGATTAATACCTCAATCTTTGATCTGGTTACAATCAGCCACAAAAACTTATTAGACATTCAAGGAATGACCCAACACACCTGGCCTAACTGCTTGACACTTTCCTTCGACTTTTGATCATCAGAAACCAAGAGAACCTCTTTCATAGCACAAAAGCCCCCATTATCACTGCAGAAATGCACAAAAGTTAACTGGTATTAAATCCTTGGAACTGATAGGCATAACAACCTCACCTCGAACATAAAGAAAGCTCCAGAATCTTACGGTAGTAAGATATGGTTTTTAGAGAAGAACAGCTTACTTGTTGAAACCCACATAAACATTTCCAAAGGTTCCACTCCCTAGAAGCCTCCCCTTCTGCCATTTGGTTGGAACTCCAGGTACAGATGAATCTGCACTCCTAGAGGGTTCGTTAGTCCTGGATGGATGACGAGAGTGCATGGTCGGTGTGCTAGGCCCTGAGGTAACAGGCGGAGAAGTGTAAGGGCTGTTATTGCCCGTGGGCCAGGGAGGCAACGGCAATGGCTGTGGTGCGTACGGGCACCGACCCTGGACTTCTTCGTGCCAAGTTGTAGGCGAATCAGGCCCGCCGCCAGCCCGAATTCCAGCCCGTGGATGCAAAGGAGAAACAGTTGCACTAGGAGTACGGCTAGGACCAGGACTTCTCAATCGTGGACTAGGACTAGGAGACCTCTCTTCAAATTGAGAAGGCGGCCACGGGGGGACTGCATCTCCTTGCCAAGAATTGTACGTAGAAGTGTTCCCAGAGCGAGGACTAGCCGACCCGGATACTAAAGGCTCCACGCTACGTTGCTGTGGCAAGAAACTGCGGGGGCTGGGAGCAGGGCTTGACATTGAGCTGTCAGGTTGAGGGATCTTCAGAGCAGCAGGGGGGTACAATCCTTCTCCCTGCCATATTGGAGACCAGGCCCGTGACGTGGGAGAGGTAACAGGTTGGTGACTGCCAGGGAGGGGACTCGTAGAGCGGGGTGTCTCAATCCGAGCTGGTTCGTTCCTAACCAATCTCCCCCGCGGCGTTGCTGAGCCTTGACTCATTCTGACAAGAGATGATTAACAAGACGGGTAATATGAGCAGAATCGTCAAGATCTACAGTAAGAATTCAATGAGTACATTACTACAAGCTCCCTACCAACAAGCCTGATTTCTTGAAGAAGGGCAACGAGTTCTCCCCGCAAATTATAGTAGGGTTTTGAAAGTGGAAATCAACTCCCTGCATGTTGCTCCAGAAAAGTAAAGTGAAAAGCACGATAGGAAGCTGCACTTACTGAAACACAGGCCGCAGCTGATCGAGGGGTTCACTCTCCTGCTGCATTGGTCGAAGATTTGAGTTAGTCGGCATTGGTCGACCATGTCGAACATCCGCAACTTCAACACTCCCAAGCGAGCTTACACTTGAAGACCCTGATATATAGTCCGCTTCAGCGGGGGACTCCATTGGCCGGACGACCTGGGTTGGTGAAGGCAAGGGCAAAGACGGCGCATGATGCAACGAAGTTGTTTGAGCACTGGGCAACTGATTCCCTGAGTACGTCCGCTCTACGGGTTTCATGGGAGGTGCACATGGTAACGGTAGCGGCTGCCCATGAGAATGCCTTCCTCTGCTGTTGCTAGGGGATGAAGGTGACGGTGATCGAGAGCATTTACCAGAGCCAGAACCTGCCTCCGAAACCAAATCTAAACTGTGGCGGGAGTTGTTCTTGCTACTTCCATCTTCATCCCCCGCACGTGACCGTCTATGCCTCCGCCCATCAAATAATCCACCTCCAGTCGTAGGTTTCTTCTTATCCTTGGACCTGGAAAACCAGGGCATCTTTAAGGCCGCAATGGTTACTGGTTGGATGTGGCTCCGCTGAGAGGAAGATTTTCAAACCTTTACCTCCACCACATACTGTAATTAAGAGACAGTCATCGAAGAGCTCACATGTTATCTTCTAATCATCTTTTTTAAAAAAATGAATGAGGATTAGAGCAGAGCCAAAACGAAGATGGATTACGACGTCTTTGTCCAAATAAGGAACCCACATTTCGAAACTGCCATGCACCAGAGAATCGTGCAGTTCAAAAGGAAGTTCATAATTTATACAATAAATCATATGTCCCGTCTACTCAGGCCATTTTCTTCAACAGAAGTGCGCTCCAACAGCCCCGCCTTACTTTTTCTAAGTCCGCAATCCAGCTTTTACATCAGCTGAAGCAGCCCTTCTCAAATGCTTCAGATAAATAGATCTTGTAGTGTTCCACAGAAACCAGCCAGGTACGCATACGCGTGGATCAGTCCCCAATCCATATACTAAAAGCAAGCTCAGGATTGCTGCGTTGAGCTTCCCCAGAAAAACAACTCTTCCGGTGCAAGTAGGTCGGTGCATGGCCTCGAAAAAAAGCATGCCATTGTTAACAGCCACTCCACGATTTACTAGATAGCTCTCGCATGCTTGAATCGGCTAGTCAATTGAAGATACATCCCTTCACAGCCGCTAACCCGGTTTCTACGTTCCTGGATTCTTAAACTTCACCCGCTAGTTTCAAATCTATTTTTCTTCAAAGACGGCAATCGATAGCTGCTTGCTTCCTAATTATTCAGCTCTGCTGGAATCAACTTGAAAGACAGTTGTTCATCCACCTACACAGCAATACAAAACAGTCAATCTAAGTGAAAGAAACACATGCAGTAACTAAGCTCCACTTCCACAGGCGTCTCAATTTATCTGTTATAGCAAACAATCATGTTCAAAGCATTACGATCTTCCGTATTCATAGCTTTGGCAATGCAGTCCTGAAAGCCTGTGTATCAGGCATAAAGTCATTTCAATTCCCTACTAATTGACGTCAAAAGCCTCTGAAATCTTTTAGAACTCTTCAGCCACCTAGGGATCATCTAGCATACGACATTCATATCAATGAATTTTAAGGGCTAATCTCAGAAATGACAGACATGCTGTCATTCCAATGCTCTAAGGGTCGTTTCTAACATCTTCCTCGAAATTTAACTGATGATCTATGTGCAACTGACGTTAGTGGCTGACAACCAAAACCAACTGCTCAATAGATGTTAGAGAGAAAATCCCCAAGGCACATAGCTCTCTCGAATGTGCTTTCAAATCTAAAGCCTGAAACTAGAATGAACTAGGGAGGGAGTCCTAATGCAGATATTGAGCATCTAAATATGTTGCGCCCCAACAAAGCAAGTAAGTGGCGTGTCCGTGAAGAGGTTAATCACGATATGAAGGATAAACCTAAACGCACTAATTTCAAGAAACTAAACATCACTGGGTATCAAAGAACTACAAAGCAATATCTCTGACATTAATTCAACAAACATGCTAGATTGTGAAGAGAAGAAATTATGCAGCAGATTGCAATGCCGATATCAAACGCTCAAGTGTAAGTGGTCCCATAGAGGATTATTGAGCAGTGGTATCGAAGGAAGAAAGGTTGATAAGCGGAGACGAAGCATTCCCAACTCGAAGTGATTGCTAGCTCGAGTGAACTTTCTAGATTACAATCCTACTGGGAGAATCAGGGCACAGCTCAGGGATATGCAACTGGACAGCAATCAAGTGCGAAACCACTGCGAAGCGATGAACCTAGGCTAAACCGGCATTCACGATGAACGTCCCGTGAGACCAACCAACGCCAACGAAGTGCATCTAGGTATAAGACTTCTACCCTATCTCCCGCAGTTCGAACTGGTTGAAGAGAAGCACCCACACAAGCCACAAACGTTCGGAGAAAGTACTGAATCTAGGGCAACCCACTTGAAATCTCCTCATACCCATGAAAAGGAATACTCTCAATCGTACAAACTCCTACAAACCCTTAAGTTAGAGACTCTTCACTCGAGCCATGTCGCATCACATATCCCCCAATTTCAGGGGAAGGGAGTGTCCAACTCTTGACGAAATGATGCATCTAGGGTAAGCCCAGCCGACGGCCATGGCCACTGAAAATCAATGGCATCGTCAACCGATGCGTGACGACTCACAACTCTTACCGCGAGGTGTAGGCAGCAGCAGCAGGAGCATTTGTCCATGAGATATGTATATTTGATGATGACGACAACGACGACAACAAAGAATCCATACCAGGGATGACTGCTACCATAGCTGCTGCTACTTCTGCTTCGTCTTGGACGACAACTACTACCCTTCTCATCTCGCTCAGCCCCTTGCTGTGCTTTGCTTTCGTTTGCGTTCCCTGTCGTAAGCCACGCTGCAAAAGCACATAGCGGAGAGCCGGTGGGCGGGCGAGCGGCTTTAGAGGGAAGTGGGGGTGGGAGGGCGGAGGGCGGAGGCAGGGAGGCCGAGGGAGGGAAGGAGGGAGTGAGGTAGTGAGGGGAGGGGAAGGGAAGGAACTGTGGCTCCAATACCTCATGTGCATTGCTCCATTTGTTTCTTTCTTTCTTGCTTTCTTTCTTTCTCCTTTCTGTCTTGCTCTTTCTCTTTCTCGTCCCTTCTTTCTCCCCTCCTTTCCTTCTCTCCTCGTTGCTTTACCGCTGTACAATTGCACCCTCACCGGTCGCAGACGCAGACGCTGACGCCACCACGTTAGGTGATGTGGCGGCCGCTGTCAGGGGCTCTGCCAGCGAGGTTCCGCCACGTCACCAATCGAGCTTCATCATCATCCGTTTATTGGAGGGCTCCATTTCGTTCATCCGTGTCCCTTTTCACCCGCTTCACATTGGGTGTTGTATCGGCGTCGAATCTATTCATCCATTCGTCATCTATCATCCGTTTGTATCCCTGGTCTTTTTCGCACCTTATCTAGTGACTATTTTTGCATTACTGTGGTACCCAACCAACGGAGTGATTTGTATGATTTATTCTTTCCTTTCCTTTTTTTGACAAATATATTGTCATCGATATGTTTTCTTCTGTTCCATGCATACCCGCCAGATACACATGTATTTTACTAATTCTCCATATCTTTCATTTTTATTGTTCATTATTGTTATTAATATCATTTCCTTCAACTTTCAAGTACTTGACAACGATGGAGATTATCATCCTTTTACATCCAAAAAGTCTCTGTACTTTTCTGCCTTTCAAAACTTACTTTGTAACATCTCCCTTTTGCCCTTTTTTAGCTCTTTAAAATTCATAATAAATAATAACAAAATTTTATGTAAATGGCCTTTTACTTGGTGTCTTTAATTGTGAGCAGACAAATTTACAGACGAAAAGAGATGTCTTCTCATGTGGGTTGTAATAATAGGAAAAAGAAGAAGAATAAATTCAGTTGTGTAAATGCTTTGTAACTACTCACACCATATGGATTTTTATTTTTTACAAATCGAATGTTGATGAGCTTTCTGCAGTTGAAACCTTTCTGACTACTATTTTTTTAAAGAAAAAAGAAAGAAAAAACTTTCTTTCTGATTTTTCTGGTTTTCAAATACAATGCAACTGGGGTTTCTATTATTATCAATCATTATCTGAGATTGCCATAGATAACAAGTATTTATCGAACATGAGGATAGTAGTAGCATAACGGACATCAAAAGATTCAAAACAATATTTTGTCAACCTGTTGTATCACAACTACGGACTTTTTGTGAAGGAGTTTTCAACATTGTAGAATTAAATATTATCTCACATGAACTTTTATAATATGACGTATGTAGTATTGCATTTTATTTAATTAAATAAACATCTAGAGCATTAGAAAATGTGTGATAAAAGTCTTCTGTAGGTTTTTGGGGTTGATTATAAAATAACAATTACAAAGGATGGAGTACAAAGACATGTATGAATTGAACTGGGTGTATCTTTCTTCTAAAGCAGACTTATAGGAAGTATAGTTATTAAATCAATACTTGAACATGTAATTTTAATAAAAGAACCTAGAAGAAAATCAGTAATTTATATGAAAATATTAAAAATACAAATATTTACAAATTAGTAAAATTGATGGTCTTTTAAATTTGAGGTTTTCTTTGAATTTTTGTTCTGCAAAAAGTCAATTTTAATTTTCAATTTTTAACATTGTAACAAATTGCAGATTAATGAATCTTTAAAAACATTTGTGTTTTCAAAAGAATATTTTTCATAGTCTATAGATCTTAATTTTGTCACAAGTTGTAACATGTGTATGATTATACTTTTATTCTAAAACATTCCAAAATCTTCTAGAATTTTACAGATATTTATATTTATTTTTATAGCTCTTTAAAACTTTTTTCTAAAAATATCTATTAGATTTTCAAAACCTTCATTTTTGTAAATAGTTTTAAAAGAATCTCACAAAATCTTCTATGAAACTTATAGTTATCTAAATTTTTTTTAGAAAATTCTTCAAAAGGTTAATTTATACTGATAAGAGATTCTATAGCTCTTAAAATTTGTCTTGGTCTAATAGATGATTAGATTACTTCAATGAATAGAAGTAAGTAGAAATAAATAGAAACATATCAAACAAGTAATATCTATCTTCATAAATATTAAAGAAGTCATATAAACTTGTTGTCATGGATTTGAGTGAATATCTATTCTTTTTGAGTGACACAAGAGTGTATTGAGGTTTTTATTGTTAATGATTCACAAAATTAAAAATTATATTATTTACATAAATAAACACATAGACATGGGGTTCTTTTTTATGCTTTTTCTAATTATTAACTAAATTTTATAAGTTTTTATATAATTAATAGATGTAGATAGAATGTCATTATAGACATTAGTCTCAATAATTAAATACTAAATCTCACAATTAAGGAAAAAAAAAATACTAAATCAACTATGATAATTGCCTTTAAGACTTATCGAGTCTTTATTTTTATGAATTTTTTTCTAATAAGACTCTTGCAACTTATAAACTCTTTTAAGTTCTAATAAATACTTATATAATAAAATAAACTCTTTAATTCTAATATTTTTGTATAAAAAGAACTTAAAACTATATTTTTAATAATTTCACCAATTAAGATCTATTGATAGGATTTACAAATGTGTATTTCAAATCTTTCTAATAATTTTTAAATAAATATAATACATATAATTTTTTATTTTAAAGACATTTAATATATTGATTATTTATTATTATTATTAAGGTTATTCATCATTTGATTATGAGATTTATACTAACGTGGGGTAAAGTGTACAATGCAAAATAAATTATATAAAACGGAACATGGGGCAATATCTACAATGCAAAATAAATTGTGAAGGAAAGAAAAATAATTCTATTTTATATTGATATTAGGGTGGAAATTGACAAGAGTCATGATAACAGTGTATATGAATTTAAAAACATGTGGTTACTTTGTTCTATGCCATTTTGTGCTCATTGAATACACGTAAAAAATGAAACTGCTTGAGTTTACTGTACTGTCATCAATAAATTTTAATAATCTATAACACATCCAATCTTGTATTTTCTGCTTGTTTTTATTGCAAAAAATGGCTTCTTGACATTCAGCACAATCAAATTATATTCCTGTAATTGTATAATCTTTAACACCATCTAATTGCAACTTTTAGATGCAATAATTTCAGTTTCTTTGTATTAATACAATGCCAATCTTATCTCTCATTATTACAAATATGGTTGTGTATTGCATAATAAAAAAACATACACATCTCCTAGATTGCCAATGTCAAGTCCCTACTACCACCTTTGTATATTTCTACAATCATAGGGACATCTCTTCCCTCCTCTCTCCCCTCTTTCATGCTCCAATGGTCCCTTCTCTACCGGGTGGTTGGTTGCTAACTGGTCACGTATGTTCAAAGCGTTTTTACCCCACGTTCCGTTTATCTTGTCCAGTAGACTCTTTGTCTCATTCACATACACACCGACCTCCCAATGCGAAAAGGTTTGGAGAGTTTAGACACAGTTTCCCAACGAGTCCTCCACCAACTCACAGCAACTCCATGGAACTGCATATTTTGTCGTTCGATTCATGACAGATCACGGCCCTCACAGACAGACATCAGGTTTGTGCAGGGTTTCCGGTTCTATAAGGCTACTCCCAGCAACTTGTTCAACTCACATCTGGAGACTTGACGAACCCAGCAAGATAAAATAGAGGGAATTCATCTAGCTACCGATATCGTGCAACACTACTGCAGAGGATGAGAGAAGTTGTAATGATGAGCTTGAAATCAAAAAGATCGGGTCTCGGAGGCACAATGGACCAGCAGAGGCGCCGGATGCAGTAGCACCATGAACTGACCCCCCCCCCCTGGATACATTTAAAAAATAAAGTAAAATATAATGTAAAATAAACCCACACGTTTATGGTGTAAAGCTCTTACTTGCAAATGAAGATGGATTGATTATTGCACTTGAATATGCCATTCCTGGAATCTGTACACATTACAATGCATATATATGGAAATTAGTTCTTAAGATAAATTCTCTTGAAAGTATAATTTTATTTGAAATTATTTTGTGTTTCTAGCTGCAAGAAAATTATTAGCAAATATAAAAAGCTGCTCTCATTAAACTAAAGAAACAAATAAGTTCAAAAATAATCTAATTAAGTTTTTATGTGTATAAAATGTGGATCATTGGTAATTATTAATAAATGCAATGCATCTGAATAAATTTCCACATGTAATATAAGATTGCCAATTCATCTATGTTATTTATAGTTAGAGATGCAAGAACACTTTCAAAACACATAAGTTTGTATTATTACCTTTGTGACAATTTTCTTATTGTTTAAAACTTATAATTCAAAATTTGAATTTTCATCATATAATTTTTCATCTTTAAAAATTATTATTTGCAAATTGTAATACTACATTTGGTTATAAATGATATAACAATAAAAAAATCTTTATAAACTTTAGAATTTTTAAAATAAAAACTTTAAATTATTTAAACATTGTTCAAACTTATGTTTTTAAAATGCCTTTTACAAGCTTCTTATATTCTCTAAATTTTGTTAAACACCCAATTATTGGCCTTCATTGTATAGATCTTCATCTTTGTCAAAAATTCATCATTGTAGCTACTATTTTTAGTTTCTATTTAAAGCTCTTCTTATGTCCACTTAATTTTTAGATTAAACATTTATTTTTTTATGCCATTAAAATTTAAATTGTCTAAATTTTACAACAAGACATGACAGGAACTCATTTAGAAAAGTATTGAATTTATATTGTAAGATAAAAAATATATGCTACAAAACCTATATAAGTCATTGATAAGTTATTTTGACAAGCCATAATTCCTTCTAAAATCATTATTTTTGTTTTGCATATATAGGGAGTAGTTAAAGTCACACACCAATATTGTTAAAGCCATGCATTCCTTGCCATCTTGTGATTAATTCAATCTCTACCCTCCATTTGTATTCCCATCCCTTGTTC